GTGTATGAGCGACCGCGAAATACCTGCAGCTGGAATAACCGCTCCTTCTGAGCTAGTGACTGGCTTGACCGCCGTCAAAATTAGCTTTTTTTACTACTTCTTCATCATTTGTTTCACCTTTGCAGGGATGGATTTTAATGCAGGGATTTGGATTTTTTCGGGTCTCGCCGGGTTCGGGCACAGCTCTAATGCAGACCTATCGTTCATATTAACCACGTTTCCCTTCTGTTCAGTCGAAACCGTAAATACTGCCAAACTGCAGAACACTTTGAAGCGCGACTCGTCACGTCACGTCACCTCTCCCCCTCTCCCTATCCCTCTCTCCCCCTCCCTCTCCCTCTCTCCTCCACACTGTCCCGTGATGACAATCACACATACGTTTTTGTAGGCATTAAATAAAGCATATTTAATATTTTATGACGGTATAACGGTATTGAAACTGACACCGTTGCTATTTTTAGATCCCGCGGTATACCATAATACCGTAATACCGCCCAAGCCTAGTTACTATGATTTTTTTGATTTTCTAAATAGTTTTTCAAAAAGTATCTTGTGTTTACCGAGACTGCATTTATCAAAAATACAGTGAATATTGCAATTCAGTAAAGTATTTTATCATTTAAATAGGCTGTTTTCCTTCTTTCTTAAAGAGTCATGTTTTAAAATCTAATTTATTTATGTGATTAAACTTGATTTTCAGCATAATCACTAGTCTTTGGTGTCTTGTGATCCTTCAAAAATCATTCTATCCTACTTATTTTGTGCTCACTTTTCTTAATATCATTGTTGTTGTACATTTTGTTTAACTGTTTAATATTTATGAAATATAAACTTCCAAAAATATCACATTTACAAGTTAGATTCTGGTGTTTATTACTTGTAAAGCACATATGAATGCCCTATTCTGCATCGTGATAATATTCTACATCCGTTTATCCTGTCCCATACAGTACCTATACCACTTAAACAAATACCTTACTAATTGATTATAGATAGCAAATTAATAGTTTATCAGGGCAAAGTAGTAGTTAAATGTGAATATTATCCATACTAAATTGTTACCAAATTCTTTTGTAGATTTATAGATATCTTGGTAGTCAGTTTTTATCAATATAGTGTTTAAAAGAAAAAAGTGTTAATAAATAAACTTTATATTATATAACCTGCATAAATAATCCCACTTAGAAAACAAAAGCATTGTTAATAATGTCGTAATTCTCATTTTTGTCTAAACAACTGCTTCAAGGCATTTTAGTTGTTCTAATGTGTGTGTTTGTGTACATGTGTGTGCGTGTGTGTGTTTGTGTGTGTGTGTGTTCCTATTATGGCATTCAAAAAGGCAAGATTGAGCATGCAAGAGATACGATCCTCTAGAAAGTTCTCCAATGTCCATCACTTTTCCCTTACATTCACACTTTTGCACACAACGATAAGTTGTGGTGAAGGAATTCCCAAGACACCAAAGTGTCTAAGTCTAGCAAAGTCATGAGAACAGGAAATGACCTCGCTTCTGAGTTTGCCCTCATGTGTGACCTCAAGCAAACAGCTTGTGTTCACTGTTCAAGCACAGAACAGTGGGGCAATGTGTGTTTGTGTGTGCGTGTTACATATTTTCAATAAGTCTGCAGGGACACAGAGGGGAATATCCGGCTGTAATCCTGATGCTCAGCCTTCACAAGGGCTGAATTGAAGTCATTTAGTGTGATTCTCAGTTTGACTGCTTTATGGCGCTGGGCTTGTTGTCACCTGGGGAGTTACAGCAGTCAAACAGAAGGGGGTTGGGCTGGCAGTCGCTTGAAAGCAGGAAGATTGAATGGATAACAATAGGCAAATTGAATAGAGAGTTGAATTTCTGTGGATCCAGCTCTCCTGAAAGAGACTTGATACTCACAAAGACGCAGCAACAGGTGGCGAAACGTGTGCTCTATTGTGTTTGCAGATATTGGGAATCTGAATTTGCAGGAGCTGTTCATGACAAAATAACATGGTTTGATCGTTTATTTCTCTCAATGTCTTTAAAAAGACACAAAGATGTCATGTTCAAGAATGTCTTTAAAAAAAATCCCTCACTGTGAATCTGACCGATCTTCACTGAATAGATAAATATCCTCCTTTATGTTCAACAGTAGAAAGAAAGACATACAAGTTTGAAACAATGAGTTATTAGTTATAAATGTTTTTTATTTGGGTCAACTTGAAACAATTATTATGATGTCACAATATGAGTATATTGTCTGACTTTTTTTGGTCATGATTGCTAATGGTTGGTAGTAAAACATTTGCGGATGAGTGTCCATGTGTGTCTTTGTGTCCATCTGTTCTGCTGTATTCCAGCTGCTTGACCCACACCCTCAACACCAGCTCCTCATTGGCTGATAAGAAGCATGTCTGGAGGAGCTAGTTTGGGCCCCTTATGAGGATGTACATCTAAAACCTGGACTGGAATGGAGCCTTGATTAGTTACTGCAAGGTTTTTATTTGTATCAGTCTTTCGTTGGTGTTTGACACAAGCTGGATGATGGAATCCATTCAGGCTATGGATGAATCGTATCCGCTTATAGTAGATGCGGCTGTCTGTATTTGTTAGAAGACAAAACGGAGTTGCTGGCACAACTTTGGGATATCATCTGGATGCGTTTCAAACCTCCAGCCTCTGGCCAAACCTTTTATCTCACAGACACGTTTGGTTTTGCTTCACACCTGGACAGGTTTTGCAAAATACCTCTTTTGTGGGATTGAGCTAGCTGATTCGCTTTGGTTGTGATTTATAAGCATGACTTATGGGGCACAGTTGTGTGATCAAAATTCTCTCTCTTTTTTTTTTTTTTTTTGGCAAAAAAAAAGTGTGGTCTTTGATGCAGAAAGTACAGTGTGTGTGTGTGTGTGTGTGTGAGTGATGAGTTCAGTGTGGTTAAACTACCTCTTGAGTCTATGGAATGGACACAAAGGTCAATTTGCATTTATTTTTGCAACATAAATATGATCTGGAATCGAGCTTTGGCTGGTTATTAAGGCTCCTTGGTTCTGTAATGACACTTACTTTACTTTTCTATACTTTTTTCTATATTTATATACAGATATGTAAAAAAATTGTATCGAGGGAATGTCCATTTATTTAAAAAAAATGTTTTAAAAAGTGAATATTGTGTGTTATATTAGTTCACTACACACAAAGTGAAATATTTCAAACTTTTATTAGTCTTAATTTGAATGATTATGGATTAAAGATGAAAAAAGCCCAAAATCAAGTATTTCACAAAATTAGCATATTTCATGTGACCAATAAAATAGGATCTTAAACACATGTTGACCTTCTGAAAAGTGTGGTAACAAATTGTATTATGTCCTCAGTACTTTGTTGGGCCTCCTTTTGCACTAATTACAGCATCAGTGTGATGTGACATGGAGGCGATCAGCCTTTAACACATTTGAGGTGTTAGGGTAGCCCAAGTTGCTTTGATAGCTTCACATAATTTCTTTGCAGCTTCACATAGAATATTATAGTAAATTAAAACAGTGTCAGTTCAGTTTCAATGCTGAAGTTATGTTTAGTTCAGTTTAGTGTGGTTTAATTTTCACTGCTGAGAGTTAAAACCCTGAAAAGCAAATCCATTGATGCGCAGCTCCACTGGTCCCGAACCATGCAAGCCAGTGGCGACAGCGGCGAGGAAAAAACTTCACCAATTGGCGAAAGTGAAGAATTAAAAAACCTCAAGAGAAATTAGACTCGGTTGGGCACGACCATTTCTCCTATGGCCAGACATCTTGTGCAGAGCTGCAGTCTAGGCGCCGGAGGCTGGAAAGAGCTGGACGTCCGTCATGGAGAAGCTGCAGGTGGGAGAGGTCACTGGCTGGTGTACAGGCTGACTCTTCTCACTTAAACAAGGTACTGGAAGCTTTGGCACTGTGTGCAAGTTCCAAGTCCTGCTGGAAATTAAAATCATCATCTCCAAAAAGCTTGCCGGCAGCAAAAAGCATGAAGTGCTCTAAAACGTCCATGTATAGAGCTGCGTTAACTTGTATTATACTTGTTAAAAAACTCTATTAATGCACACTGCGAGCATCCAGCTTTTTTTTGCAATTGTCTTTAGAGACTTTTCCTCCTTATAGAGGGTTCCAATGATGGTCTTCTGAACAACTGTCAAGCCAGCAGTCTTTCATCATTCTGAAGCCAACTAAGCCAGACTGAGACAATTTCAAGGCTTTGCATTAATTAGCGGACTCGATTGTCGATTGACACAGGGAGCCTACAATTTTAAACTTTGTCATGATATTCTAATTTTGGGAAATATTACATTTGGGATTTTTTCATCTTTAATCCATAATCATTCACATTGAAACAAATGAAGGTTTGAAATATTTTATTGGTGTGTCATGAACTACTAAAGCGCACCCAATTTACTTTTTGAGACAAATTTTTGAAATAAATGTACTTACCGAAATAAAAAAATTTTTGGCACATACCTGTAGTAATAAAATTGTAAAGATAGATTACAAAAGCCACAGATTAAAATAATTAAATTGTTTTAGATATTTGGATATAAATGGTCCTGAACTCTGACTCAAACTTCCTCAAAGAAGCAAAAGTCCTCCTTTTATTTTTAAATCTCATAAATACACTCATCCAAATATTTACAAACCTTTCAAAGAGAAGTAAAAACACAGTCAGTTAATGAGAATTTGACGTCATAATGCAGAACAGACTTTTAGTGTTACTAAAAACATGCCTAATCTAACATCCTGTTTCTTATTACATTTTTAAAAATATTATTATTATTATTATTATTATTATTATTATTATTATTATTATTATTATTATTATTATTATTATTATTATTATTAAAAACAGCATTTTGATGATAGTTAATTATTATATTGACAGAGTGAAAGGCAATTAAGAAGTGTTCTTCACATCTTTCATGCTCCACCTCCTCCAGATCCACCCCTGGTTTTCACACAAACTCTTCCAACAAAACTTTGTCTTCTAGCTCTTTCACAGTGTTCAATGGCATACCTCTGCCTTCCCACTACTTACAGGCAGAGTGTGTATCAGAGGGAGAAAGAGAGAGCATGTGGCACTGGAGAGCCTTTTGAGCTTTTTCCCCCCTCACGGAGAAATCAAGCAACACGAAGAGAAACAGAGACTTGCAAACTTAAAGGAAACTTCAGTTGGACTTTTCCCAGCTCTGCTAGACTTGAGTGGCGGAATGGATTTTCCTCTGATACTTTGAATGTCACGGCACAACTGTGGGCTTTTGGCACAGAAGGGATCTTTTAAGTTGTGTTGACTGAGCGTGTGTGTGAGTGAGGCGCGTGCGTGTGTGACAGGAGCAATGTCAGGTGTAACACGGAAAGGTTCTGGGAGACCAGGATATTATTATAGGCTCCTGGGTCGAACGAGGCTACAGAGACAACGCAGCCGCTCCAGGAGCAGAAGCAGAGTCACAAACAATAAGGGTAAACATCATGCTATTTACCTTTACTACTCGCCTTTTAAATGCTTTCTGTGTTGTTAAGTAATAAATGATTCAGTGTTTATATTGATAACACTTATAACTGTTTTGTTTGTCACACTTTGCTGCAGTCTGTCAAAGATTTTTGTTGCGTAGTCACGGTTGTAAAACATCACTATAACAGCCTGTGTATTACACTGCTATAAACATATAGTTATGACCCATTTATGGCAGCACAATTCTGAGTACTTTAAGTTGTCATGGTCTTTAGTGATTATTTACATGTGAGATGTTACTTGTTGATAGTGAAAAGAAATGAACAAAAATACTTCTATAACATTCATTAATTAACTTGGCTGATGTCCATTTCAATGTTTACTTGCACATACATAGTGAAACTCAAGTGTTTGGTAATGATACTTGATTTATGATCCTGAGTTGACATAAACTAACAATGAACAGTTGTATTTTTATTACCTAGCATTAACAAAGATGAATGAATGCTGTAACAAATGCATTGCTCGTTGTATAATAGTGTGAGTTAAAGTCTTAACATTAATGAACTTTATTGTGAAGTACAGGCTTTTTTTAGCCTAAAATATGTATTTGTTTGATTTGGAATATTCTTTAAATAAAATTGTGAGTCAGTTTAGTTTGAACTTCTCTTTGGATCTAAAAAGCTGGATGGCAAAACTTCCACTTTACAGTAACGCTCCTTTCAGAGTTGCTATAAAAGTGTTTCTGTTGGAGTGTGGTTTAAAATAAACCATACAGTATGTGTGATGCTCTGCCTAGTCAAGATATCAAGGGGGCACTTGCCTATAAATATTCAGAATATTATTTTAAACTGTGCTTTAGTGGAATGACTAGTAATTGTTACATCAGTGGGGGTGATTTAAATGGTTTTGGTGACTTTTTTTTAAGCACCCATTCCTCTTATTAACTACCAGCTTATTACCTGCCTAGTCTCGCATAGCCAGACCTCAGCCTTTGTTCTTTGTTCCATAATCAAGGTTTTTGTTGTATTTGTCAGTATCTGCAGATAAAAAAAGACTTCTTGCTGTTTTGGACGATGTCATGGCTTATTTTTATGACCAAGTTAACAGAACATTTGAGTGTTTTTAGTGCAATTAAAATAATGAGAACATTAGCATACTAGTTGACATTGTGGGTTGAAGCATTTATGCCGTGAGTATTGCATATTTTTAATAATACAGCATTTAAGTCAAATTGGTCAAAATGTACATCATCACACAATTATCCTCACAATAACAGTTGGGTGTGCAGGGTGTAAATCACTGATTCATAAGTGTCTCAGAAGTTAAACACATTTATTAATGAGCACTGTTGTTAATTTAAACATCACAGCTTTTTTATCTGCTCAGACTTGTTTCCAGGCGGACTGGTTAAGATTGCTGCACACTCGACTCCATGCCATATGCATCAAACATTTAGCCACATGTCTGTGGATGTTGCTTGAAGTGACGTCAGAGGCGGAGACTACATGTCTTTTAAGATACCCAAAAAGCCAACTACTACTTTACTAAATAATAATAAACAGCCATATCACCCAGCTCTCCAAGACTGTTTACTCAGTACCTTAATGGTAGATCACAGGGGAAAACCTGGTTGCTGTTGTAAGTGGTGTTAGTGAGGCCAGCAGGGGGCGCTCATCCTGTGGTCAGTGTGGGTGCTAATGCCCCATTATAGTGAAGGGGACACTTTACTGTCAGTGAGCACCATCTTTCAGATGAGATGTTAAAAACCGCGTTTCTGACTCTCTGTGGTCATTAAAAATCCCATGGCACTTCTCATAAAGAGTAGGGGTGTTACCCCAGTGTCCTGGCCGAATACTCTCCATTGAATTGGCTCTATTACTGTCTCTCCACTCCACCAATAGCGCAATGTTGCACACTGGTGGTGGTGTGAAGAGACCGCCCTCATGATTGTGAGGTGCTTTGGGTGTATGGCCATACACAATAAATGCGCTATATAAATACAAACAGTACATTACATTACAAATTAGGAGTTTAATGAGTGGTTAATGGTTTGTTAATTGAGAGAATGGTCCCTTAAATAAAATGTGACTTTTAATGTATAATCTGAAAATGTAATTTGATATTATACAAACATGCTGGGGTTTGCGTGAATTGTGATGTGATGCAAATGTAATCATCATAACAGTATGTGCAAAATGCAAACAGTCAGATTTACATAGCTGAGTGTGTTTTATTTTTACTTGTTTTATAACAGCAATGAACAATGGGTCAACAATGAACTGTTGTTTCAGCAGTACAAGAAAAACAAACTGCAGAATATGACAAAACAATAGACACGAATGTTGACAAGTGTGTTTGTGAGGAAAATTAAAGATCTGAAATTCTGCTATTCACAAAACAATAAAAGCATTTGTTTTGCTCTTCACATGTAAAAGAAAAAGTGCAAACCCTGGACGAGAATTAATCTAAATCTGCAACTTTTGTTGGTTAAAATGAATAGAATTAATTCAATGAACAACATGAATTCATCATCCAAACTGTGTTTTTGTCTAATCCTGTATCATAGTGAACCTATAATAAGTGTTTATGCTTGAGTGTATGATATGTGACAGAAGTGCTCACAGTTCATTATTAGTTATGTTCCAGAGAATTATAAAATACATATCTAGCATGATTTGACAAAACACAGCTCCAGAATCTCTCCCAGTTCAGTGCTGGATTCGTTTAAATTCTTCTCAAAGCAGAAGCAGTGAACTATGACCTGTAAGTGTTTTTATTTTTATAAATTGATCATGACCTGTACAGTGTCTAGCGTTAACGGAATGCTGGAGCAACGATGTTAACAATGGGAAATGCTGTTTTGCACAGCAAACGATTTAGCTACAAATTTATATTTATCAGTCAAACTGCTATAAACACCCACACACACAATTCACCAGCACGTGCAGCCTCTCTCTCTGTGTGTGTGCGACTTTGCATTGATTCTCTTTAGGCAGCTTTTCCAAGCGTTTTACATCTCAGATAATGAAGTCGCAAAAGATATGTGAATGATTCATATTAATTACACCTGCATATTCAAAAAATGAATATTACTATTCACCTGACTCGTGTAGCAGCAGAAAAATAAATCAAGGCTCACACAGGTCGCATCCCACGTCTTGTGCTTTATTCTTCTGTCACAATATATTACAGAAAATAGCTTAATCCGAAACTCCCGTGCACATGCGCTTGTTACAGAAAGTTCACACATTCACACACAAAAAAACGATCTCTCTTAAAGGAGCCGCTCCCCATTTTCACTCGTTACAGACACATGTCAGATTTTATTTTAGAGAGCAGGCAGGAGGTTGACTGACTGTTTACACAACAGAAAATCGCATGCTTGTACAGGCGTAACGTGGAGCCGATCCGCGAATCGCAGCACATTGACAGATGACCAATCAGAGTCACTTGAGGGCGGGCTTTTTAGAGGAACTAGGAAATATATCAGTCGTTTTCATGTTAGCTGATTAGCTGTGGATAATCAAAGTGAGATTTATGAAAAAATAACATGATTTCCTTCAATTGAAACATGAGCACACATTGCTTTGCATCTTATAAAAGCAACCAAGTCTTAAAATTACATTGTGGACCACCCCTTTCAATATGTAATTCGTTTAAGTCCTACTGTGTGTACAAAAAAGCTTAGCCACTGTATCAGTTTAGTGTCAGTTGTAACACCTAAGTATGACTGCAACAAACCACACAAGCCATATAAGTCAGTTAAAGAGCCCTCACGTGGAGCAAGTGGAGAGGGGTTATCAACTACTACATGTACAGCTTTATGGTCAAACAACAAGACAGGTGACCAGCCACAATAATTGAACCTGACACACCAAGCACACTCTTACTCACGCAATTTTTTAAACCAGTCAAGCAGGAACTCAGTACTTCGGTTTGACCCAACAAGCCACACACACACACACACACACACACACACACACACACACACACACACACACACACACACACACACACACACACACACACACACACACACACACACACGTCATTTCAGATGTGAAGCCTGTGAATGGCTCTTTTAAACTCTCATTCAGGTTATGGCTAGCTCTGCTCATTACAAAGGGGATCGATTAGGATCCTCGAGTCATTCAAACTGAATTGAATCACAGAGCAAATCGATTCATTGTAGTAGATGAGGTGCTTTGGGATTGGGCTTTGTAAATGCACAGCTGGTTTGGAGATTTCAAGGTGACATCCCTGTGGTTGTTTTTTTTTACTCAAAGGTTTAAGCAAACAGAAGCAGTGGTTTATAGACATAGTGTAATATTAAGGATAAATATATCTTCTTTTTTTGCTCAACTGATAATGATATTTTTTTGTTCAGTAACAGACGCACTGTAGAGTACAAGTATGTGTGGATTTAACTTAATCAAGATTTTTGTTTGACGCAATGTCTGGATGTTTTCCAGCTGAGTGATTGTCATAGAAGGTTCTTACGTGTTTTTGTGGGTGTAGATTTACTTGAATGTCAAACTGTGTGCTACTGGATGATTTTATTTTTTTTTTACTGCTGAGCTGTTCATGTTAAGAGAAAGATAGGATAAGCCCTCTAAACCCAGGAGTACAAATAAATAAATATGTATGTATTAGGGCTGCACAGGAATCTAAGATTTCAATATTTTTTAATTCTACGATATACAGTTGAATTCAGAATTATTAGCCCCCCTGAATTTGAGAGGGTGCTCGCTGCAGAGCCATTTGAGGAGAGCTGAGCTCCAGCGAGGGGGAGCATGAGCTCTCGCTCTGCCTCCTATAAGCTGTTTTAATGCGTACACCAACCCCACCCCTAACCCTACCCCCAGTGACATCACTTGTAGAAGAAGTGCAAAAAAGGTGGAGCTCAAGCTCAAGCTCCCCCTCGCTGGAGCTCAGCTCGCCCAAATGGCTCTGCAGCGAGCACCACTTGCTGAATTTAGCACCCGTTTATTTTTTTCCCAATTTC